GGGCTCGAGTGTTTCTTCGCTTGAGGGGACTCGCGTTGGGTCCTGTGTCGCATGGGCCGCCAAAGGCGATGATCGCTCGACGTCTTCCGTATCGCGTCACACTTACCACCACCACGTCGGGTGTGGACGGCTCCGTGTTATAAAGCACGGAGGTTTTCACCCTCGAGGCGCATTCTATTGAGAACACGCCCAAGAAATACAATAATTGTTTTAGTTCGAAAACGTGTTGATTTCTTTCCTATAAACAAGACTCGCCCTGCCGCGAGTCAGCGTTTCCAAGCATCGAAGAGCTACGGCGTTTTGGGACGCTACAATGGCAAATATTCCTCCCCGAGTGTGCTATTTCCCCACAAAAAATTCAACGAAACTAACGTTCCTTTTAAAAACATTTCCATTATCGTTTGTTGCGTCGTGCGTTTCGAACAAGCGGTATGTTCGAGAGTGGTGGCGCAGGATTGTCGCGGGTGCGGGTTGTTTGCTGGTATGAAGTCGTGGTGACTTAGAGGTTCCACGTATTTTATTATGTTAAAAGAAAAAGACTTTATTTTGAAGAGTGGTAGTTTATGTGGTGTTTGTCTATTTTCCCTTTTTGATCTGATGTGCGTCGGTGCGCTTATTTATAAAAAGGTTCAGGGGTATAAGGTGGTGGTCTCCGCCAATGGGAACGGGTCTACCCCCTTGGACGGTCCTCCCTGGCCCGCGAGCATGCCGCCCACCCTGGAATTTCCAAGTTGGCAGGGTGGCGGTATGTCGCGTTGGCGGGGGAGTGAGGCCCAAGGGGTAGCCCGCGCGTAGCGGGACTTTGGGCGGTCAGGGAGACGCGAGAGGTTTTATGACATGCCTGTGTCTATTGAATGTTCACGAGTGGGCAACGGGAATAGCCATAAAACGCTTCCTAGGCTTCGTGGCCAATTTGAAAGAAAAATTAATTAACGCGAAGAAGAAAAGGGGCGCATTCAAAAGTAGCGTAAACAGGCGTCCATGTCATAAACCCAATCCCTAACATCGCTCATCCATATATATTCCAAAGACAGTAACAGCAATTACACACTCGATTTGCAGAAAAAGCGACTCCTATTCGCTCTCAGCCTGCCATTTCCCACGCTTCTAATAATTTCCGGGAAACTTAGCCGAGCGGTGAAAAACGCTTTATGCACCAATTAACGAATCGTGTTAGCCGCAAAACGAGATGAAACATTCAGGCAGCAACGTCATAACGTGCCCGGCTAAAAATGTTTCCAGTTCCTCTGTGTCGGGAGTATTGATTCCTCGAGAGGTCAAACAGCCAAGCTAGTTTTTCTCCTCTGGCCTCGTCACGCGGCCGATCATCGCGACGCGACGTCTCGAGCGGATTACGCGCGTTTCCGCTTGTTAGCTCGAGGACAAACGAATTCGAGAATACCGCGTGAATTGTCCCGTATTTTACGCTGGCCGCGTGTGTCACGGAAAATTTGCTTAGATTGCGTTACACCAGGCGAAGTGGATTGTTAAGTTTGAGGAGGAGTTCGTTGCACTTTTCGCTAAATCTCGAGTTTTATTTGATAAAGAAGAGAAATTGAAATGTTCTCCATTGTTTTGCATAGAGAACAAGATTTCGTGGTGATGAAAGTTTGATTATTGACTAGAAATTGGGTTGGAAGAGTGGACAGTAATTAAATATCAAGAAACCCCTTTTAAAAAATTAATATAAAAAGAACTGAAATATTCTCCACTGTTTTCAACGACTTTCCTTCATTTTTTAAACAGTGCAAAGATTCCACAGTGATAAAAATTTAAATATTGCTTAAAAATTAGGTTAAAAGAGCGAACAGTAAATAAACACTAAGAAAACTCGTTTGAAAAATTAATATAAAAGAAATTGAAATATTCTTCACTGTTTTCAAAGACTTTCGTCCATTTTTCAAACAGCACAAAAATTAGGACGAAAGAGTGAACAGCGAGTAAACACTGAGAAATCTCGTTTAAAAAAACAATACAACACCGATTTCTATGTTTTATTGTTCACCAATGAATGAATCGTCTCAAGATGAGCTTCTCCTCTTGTACTTCCCCATGTAATGTTTCATCGCGACGATTCGATCGACTTGGACAAATTTGTCTTCGCGTGTGACGTTATTTGCACTCGAGACAGATGGTTTACGAGCAGAAGGATATTTGTATAGTTAAGTGTCTCGACGAAGCTCGTACAGTGTTGTGACCAGATTGTTACTGCGTTAATCTTATCGTTCGATCTTCGAGATTGATACGATTTACGATGGTGACGTTTGTTTAGTCACGTTACGGAGTATTCCGGCAATTCTGCTGACGCTAATTTTGTGGCTCATCTTCCTATCGATTATCTCACTTTAGTAAACTTCGAGTTCTTGAATGAGCACTAGCAATCACTCACACTTCTGATTTTCAAAATTTCAAATTAAATTAAATCAAAAATTTCAAATTAAAAATTAAATTAAATCTAGAATTAAAAATTAA